TAAAATTTTAATTTACAGTTAGATTTTAGTTTAAGTTTTTGTGAAACAGGGCCCTGGTCTCATGGTCAAAAATGTAAATTTCCACATTGGCGCACATATCTTTCCAATGGATATCTGTGTGGCTTTATCATGATAAATTTCTTAAAGCGGGTGTCATAGCTTCCTCCATATCTGATTGGAGCTCTCCTCTGGTTTTTGCCAGGAAAAAAGATGATAGTTGTCGATATTTTCCAATAATCAGTTAACCATACATTATGCAAGAGCTAAATCTGCCTATTGCAGGTATTTCTTTAGGCCTGAAATGTTATCTAAAGTATTAATTATACATTAATTAACTTATCCAGACCATAATCAACTCTCGATGGCATCGCTAGCCTGTGATGTTTATTGAATTAGGTTCCGATTTGCTGTTCGACTTCCATTCATAATTTAATCAAGAAATGGATAATCGTTTTTTTATTCTACCGACTTTAGTAATGATGATCGAGGCTAGGCCGAAAATTAAATCGCTAAAATCTCGGTTCATAGTGGATCAATTTGACTGAAATTTTCAGCAAACTCACATTACAGTATTTAGTTTTTGCCTATTATAGTGAGAACTGCCAACTCTAATCTCTCATAATGTATCTTTTTGTACGAGAAGAAGCTTCAACTTGATCGATTTCCATGTTGTTGGTGTCGATTTGTATCTTTTCTGGGACGCCCAATCGAACTACGGCTTTTAAAATGTTCACAAATCGACGTAAATTCAATTTTCAACGATAGTTGGTCTACAACGATGAGCACATGAGAGAGAGTACTATGTAGTGCAATGAAAGCAAAAAGACCAACCGGAAAGCCAAGGCCCCTAGAATCCTATGCTGGGATTTCCATACAAAGGGTGCACATGGAAAGTAACAGGGCAACCGGTACGTACTTGTAATGGTTTACGAAATGGATAGAAATGGCTGCAAATTCACGATCAAATGCTAAGCTGGCAACTGGAAAGTTCTGGTCCATTTCTTAACTACCTTTAGTTACCCTGTGGAGATCCACACAGATCAGTGAAGAAATTTCGATGAAACTTTATACCAGGCAATTTGTGACCTGGAAGTAATCAAAGACAAAAGCCACCCCTTATCATCCTTCTTCTAATGGGCAGGTGGAACTCTTCAAACCGGATAATATTACAAATGATTCGTTTCTACATCAATTATAAGGATTCGGATTTACATCTCCCATTATTGACAATGTCCATGCAATTCATGGTAAACAGGAATACTGGTTTCACCGCCAATATGATGATGCTTGGGCGGCAAGTTATTGACACTTCTACTGTGAAGCCACCTTATCGTAACGCTGACGAGTGGGTACATTTCTTAGCTTCTACCTTGGGGGACGTTCATGAGCATCATCGTCAGCATTTTCAAGCTAACCAACTTCGTCTGAAACATCCCTATGACGTCGTCTCAATTATGACCGATTTGCAGTTGGGGATGTGGTTTACATGGCTGATCTGTCCACCAAAGTAGGTCAAAGCCGAAAGTTACAATATCCTTGGAAAGCACCTCCTCTGATTGTCCGGTCTCCGGGGCCTAAAATAACGTGCCTTGGAGCATGAACGTGCCTCGAAATGAAAAATCCGTGCTTCGAAAATAAGAAAACCGTGCTCTGAAAAATGGTGTAGTGCTCGAAAAAAGTGTAGTCAGCGATGCCTCCTGACCCCTAATTGGGTGTTTCTTCTTGTGTTCTTGTGGTGTCAGTTGCACAGATTAGATCAGATCAGTTCGACCCCGGGGCAAGTACAACCTTTCTTAAAATCTCCTGTGTGTGTGTTGTCGTCCTAGTGCTGAGTTTTCATGCGAAAAAAGCTGCTCGCGACAAAATAAATTCCTATGTAAACTGCACCAGAATAGTCCACAGATGCCGGTTTCAAGCTCTCAATTTTCAAAATTTTCTGGGGGAGGCCAGACCCCCAGCCGGCGCGCTTCGCGCCTGCGGCGCTCGCGGTCGGTCTGAGAATTTAACCTATTTTAGGTTCTGCCGGTCTCAGCCACCCTTGTACTGAGTTACAAATAGATGGAGAGTTAAAGTTATGCGAGGAGGATTAAGTCAATCCCTATGTATTTACTGACTCCCATTGTCATCTCCATCAGCTTTTTATTCGTAGCAGAAATAATACTTTCACTAAAATGTATCATAAATTTCACACCAGTGACTGGCTACATTCAATAGTTGCCAATTTTGTCCACCTCTTGCCATTTAGCACATCGTATACCAGACCCTACCACTTAATTTGTTTCCCCCGCGACTATGGGACAAGATCTTAAAACATTAAACAAGTTAACAAAATGGGTTGACTCTTGGTGCGATCGGACTCGACTTCACCTCCATGAATCAGTCATAATGCTAGGAAAAATTCTTGAAACGGGTCTTCCAACATTCTGATGCTAAACAGACATTAATCATTTATTTCATTTTATTTATATATGATATGCGCACAAAATATTAAATTTACATTAAATATTATTCTAGGTCCTTTTAGGATCTAATTAATTTATTTTTTATTTTTATTTATTGTATAAATAATTCACCTACCACTTTGATTTCGCCTCACCGTGTGCTCAGTTCAGTGATTGACGAGGCGACCCGTAGATGTCACGTGATACCAACAACATCGCTCTCCGCTTAGTGTACGAGCGTCACTGTATATCTAGGACTCAAGAAGTACTCTAAATATAGTTACGGTATACCTTTGTCCACTCGTTCACTACAATATAGTCGAAAGGTGTTTCAGATCGGATAAAAATATTGACCTCTAGAAGGACCAGCTAAAACGCGGTTTTTCGTTAATCCAGTATGTTGAGGTCCGGCATGGGCGAAAGGACCGAGATCTTTGGGTTATAAGCAAAATCGGATAATAATTGTGACCTCTAGAGTGTCCATAAGCTAAACACCTCTGTGTTCGTACAATCAGGGGCCATAATCCATGGAGTTACGGTCCAATATCGAAAGGAACCGTGATCATTTGGAGATAAACCTATAATTCAACTGTCGTTAAATCGGATAAAACATGTGGTCCAAATGTGGGAGAATCAAAATGGATAATGAGGTTACAATGGTAGCAGTAATAATCTAGACTATGCTATTCTTATAAAACCAGTCATAAGGTCTCTCAGAATAAATTAATTTGTCAAAAAGTTTCAATATAAATGCAATTTGATTGAAGATCTGCAAAACAAATTTTTAAGACCTTTAAAACTGGACACAGAAGCCGAATGTAAAGTGTGCAGGTGCGTAAAAAACGTATCATCTTCATAGGCCTACATCTAGATCTACTTTAACGATTTCAGTCATAGATTATCTCTTTTGTTAATTAAATTAATAATTCCTAATGTATCTGATGCACTTCTGTAATCACCCAGATTATAAACAATTTATAAAATCTATAATTTCATAATTGAATACTGTGTTGTGTCATATACATATCATTACTTATACAAGGACAGCCTCATAATTGAAAGGGAGGTAACTATGTTTTCTATTTAATTTGCCAAAATGCACTATGCAGTTACGTACACTATTGGGTTATTAAAATAATGTTATTCTTTATGTTACATTTATCTCTATAGAACATATTCTATGAAATATTCATGATAATTGCTTGGAAGCTTCGGCGAAGCATGCAAAAATTATTATCAGTCTCTACTACATGTAGAATTGGTGACCAGAGATCCTCGGTCTCTCAGATGCATGATGCAGAGGAAATACCCTAGTTCGTAAAAAAAAGTTGCAAAACTTTGTGGTAAAATCATACAAAAATTATTATCAGTCTCAACTACATGTAGAGTTGGTAACTAGAGATCCTCGGTCCATCAGATGCATGTTGCAGAGGAAATACTATTAATATGAAACCACTTTAATGACAGAGGAGACCATGGTGATTCTAAGGGAGTATTTGTTTTAAGGGATACTAGGCAATAGAATTGGGTGATATGCCTTAGGAATATGCACTGAAAATCTTCATATACTTGCTTTGAAACACCAAAGAAAATTGTCTGATATAAATGATATAACTAAAATTAATGCAGGAGTTCAAATTTTACTCAATATAATAACACGATGTCGACTGTGCTCCTACGGAAATGATTTTCATCGGCTTCTTGAATAGTACAGAACTACTCCTCAAACTGGAGCATCCTTTCAGAACAACGTCAGTTCTCTCGATAATTTTTTATTGTGGGTTAAATCTATTTATTAATTAACAGAAATCACCCACAGAAACATAAACAATCCCAGAGCCAAAAAGAATCTCGGACAGACGACAAACTTGCTACTGCTTGGGAAAGTAGATCAGCTGCAATGGGTGCGTATGAAAAGAATTTAAGACATTTTTTCTGCACATTATGTAATGTTCCATAAATTCTTACAGCACTATATTAACTGATCAATGATAACATTAATGCGGGGAATAATGAACGTGAGAGCAATACTAATATTACAGTCAGGGGAACTATTTTATGACGCAGAAGTGTTACTGCTGCAGAAAGCAGTCCTTTAAGATAATGAAAGTACCATTATTATACATATTCCAAACTCATCACTTCACCACTTCTTGAAAGTTATTGTTTTTTTCAAGGGGCTAGCAATACATAATAAACCTTATACGTATCTCCAAAGTTGGGTCATCTACTACCTGTGAATTTATGTGGGATAGACGTTGGCTTGTTTGAAATTTAACTAAACAATAACGTGCTTTTCTATACGTGATTTCTTCATTGAAAATTGTCACACTAAGATTTAGCTTTTACTTTAACTTAAAGTTATGGCGCAAACAAATAATATTTCTACTATTCAATAAAATATGGGTCGATTTATGATAGATGGTTTTTACAAATCTAACTAAAAAACGCATTACGTCAAACGTAAGATAGGCCATCTGTTATAAATACACGAGATTTTAAAATATAAACATCTACAAAGTGGGCCGTATAAAATAACTTACTTATGCCATAGTGGTAAACAATATGTTCACGTTATGGGTTTTATTGACGACAGTGGGTCTGGTCAGTTGTTATATCCTACCAGATCCCCAATTTAGCTTATCGGCCAAGGGCGGTGAATTTAAGTCAGAAGGTAGGTGTTTTATTTTTCAGGTTAATTTATATCTTCAAGAAATTTAAATTTTTGAACCACGATTATATTGTTTCAAAAAAGAAAACCCACCAAAAAACCCATGACAACAGGGGCAGATATGTTTGTACACTGTGCTAAAATATAAGTGGACTTTGGTAAATGGTCCTATATCATCCCAAAACAAGGGTTTAATATGCACAAACAAAACAAGGGTTTAATATGAACAAAGTAGCTTTTAGTTTAGTCTTAAACATATTCTGGTCGATCATCTATAAACGATGAATAATTTTAAAAATAAAAGCACATTTGATTGTTTGTGGTCCTATCCCTCAATAACACATTTTATTGTTCCCCGCCTTTCGAAGAAAGCAGGGGACTATTAAAATGGGTTCGTCCGTCTGTCTGTCCGACACACTTTTGGGGCAAAATAACTCTCTTTCTAATTGAGCTAGAATGTTCAAATTTTCTGCTTTGGGTAAGCAGAGATAAGAAATTTGATTGGTTGATGCTTTGAGACACAATAACTTTAGTTCTAATTAGGTGAGAGTGGGGACACTTGGTGTATATTTATCACAACAATACCTTGACTAAATTCGATAATGAACATTTTCTGCTGAGGGTAAGCAGGCGATAAGCAATTTGATTGGTCGAGACTTTGGAACACAATACCTCTCCTTCTAATTGAGGTAGAATGTTCAAACTTGGTGTAGGCATTCACGGAGTTTGATTGGTTGATGCTTTGGGGCCATGATAACTTTGGTTATAATGAAGTGAGAGCGATGAAACTCCGAATATAGATTCAGTATATCATTACCTTGACGAAGTTCGATGGTGAGAATTTTCTGCTAAGGAGCGATAAGCAGTTTGATTGTTCAAGACTTTGGAACATAACAACTCTGCTTTTCATTGAGGTGGAATGTTTAAACTTGACGTAGATGTCCGTTAGGTGAATGCCTTGACTGAGTTCAATGATTATCATTTCGAGATGAAATTAAGCAGAGCTAATCAATTTCACTGGTCGATGCTTTGGGACAAAATAATCTTGATTCTATCTGATGGAGTAATGTGTAGTTTGATTGCGCGATACTTTTGAAAAAAATAGATGTGCGATTAATTAATATGTGTCATCTATTTATTTTGGGATTTCGGCGGGGGACATCAGCCTCACTATTGGGTTGTTTTTATTTTACTTTTAACATACATATGAATGATCTCGCTCTTCGTGCTTTTATTATTGTATTGGGTTTTCTTTTGGTCGACCTGCCTGGCACCTTACGTTTTTATAATTATTTTTTTTTTAAAAAATAGACATTTATGTAATATCTTCACGTTAAGGGCCCGGTGGGTCATTTAGCGCTATATGAATCCGTTACAATATTGTGAGATTTTAATCTCTAATGGGAATAGGGAATATCGGTCCAATTCGAGTCAGTATAGTATATAGACAGCGAGTTTTACGACGTCAAGCCTTGGGTAGTTTAGTCTGATATTCCGGAACTTACAGGTACGTTAAGTCCCTATACGTGAACAATAGCGTTGTACAATGAGAGGTCGTGACACAAACGTACTGTAATCAAACATGGCGACCTCCACGGAAACCTTGATATTGAACGATTATCACAGGAAGACATTTGCAGAAAAAACGCTATACTTCGTATTCGCGATATTTTCTATCGAGTAATCTAAGAGGTTCCCAGCTGGGTCAGTAGTCAATAGAAATTAGTGGCGAAATATGCAGGGTATTGAGTGAAGGGTTTGATAAAATGTACGGCGTTAAAACGATATCAAGCCTTCTGTTGAAGATGCGACCTATGAGCCTCGACTTTAACACAGTGCCGCTATCTTCTATTTGGCGCGGAGAGACCTAGTGGACCTAGTTTAAATCCGATTTAATCCAACCAGGGAGATTATCTAGCGTTGGTAATTTGAATTTGTTTTCTTAAATGTTAAATAATCAACCTGAGTCCATATTTAACCTGTATTAAGCCGTGCGAAATTACGCATCGAGCCTGAAGTATATACATGTAATATATTTTTAATTTAAGATATCCCTGGACTTAAGAATCTATATTTCATATATAAAGTAAATAAAGGTACAGAACTGCTTAGAAAAGCAGAAAAGGGAGGTATGTATCCAGCTCATATGCTATTTTGTTAGAATTATGGAAGACCAGACTTTTTCTTAGTTCTAAATGTTATCAACCATGATTGATATATATTTTTATACGCCCACATTTTCATGTGGACGTATATTGCCCCTGTCCGTCCGGACGTCCGTCCACAATTGGTTGTGAACAGTCTACAGGTCACAATTTTTATCCGATTTCATTGAAACTTAAAATATAGGTTTATCACCCTAAGATCTCGGTTCCTTCCGATATTGGCATGTATCGGACTGTAACTTCATGGATTATGGCCCCTGATTGTACGACAAAATCACGTTTTTTGCCTGTGAACAGTGTAGAGGTCACAATTTTTATCCGATTTGGTTTAAACTTGAAATGTATGCTCATAACCCATAGATCTCGGTTCCTTTCGATATTTGTACATATCGGAACGTAACTTCCTGAATTATGGCCCCTGATTGTACGAAAAATCGCGTTTTTAGCTTGTGGACCCTATAGAGGTCATAATTTTTATCGGATTTAAAAAACCGTATTATTATGTAACCGTTACACCCTAAGGACGACGGAGTTCGAATTTCGTGAAAATCGGCCCAAAACTGACAGACAAAATGGCCGCCCTTCTCAAATAGCGTAAAAGTACGGTATATAATAATAATAATAATATCTTTATTTTCAAAGGTGAAAAATCAAGGTTGTGGACCCTATAGAGGTCACAATTTTTTTCCGATTTTGTTGAAACTTGAAATGTAAGTTTATAACCAAAAGATCTTGGTTCCTTTGGATATTCGCGCATATCGGACCGTAACTTCATGAATTATGGCCCTTGATTGTACTTGTGGACCCTATAAAGGTCATAATTTTTATCCGATTTAAAAAAAACCGTATTATTATATCACCGTTAAACCCTAAGGGCGGCTGACTTCGAATTTCGTGGAAATCGGCCCAAAACTGACAGACAAAATGGCCGCCTTTCGTTCTCAAATAGCTTAAAAATATGGTATATCAAGGTTGTGGACCCTATAGAGGTCACAATTTTTATCCGATTTTGTCGAAACTTGAAATGTAAGTTTATAACCCAAAGATCTCGGTTTCTTTCGATATTCGCGCATATCGGACCGTAACGTCCTGAATTATGGCCCCTGATTGTACGAAAAATCACGTTTTTGGCTTGTGGACCCTATAGAGGTCATAATTTTTATCCGATTTAAAAAATCGTATTATTATATCACCGTTACATCCTAAGGACAGCGGAGTTCGAATTTCGTGAAAATCGGTCAAAAAATGACAGATAAAATGGCCGCCCTTCGTTCTCAAATAGTGTAAAAATATGGTATATCAAGGTAGTGGACCCTATAAAGGTCACAATTTTTATCCGATTTTGTTGAAACTTGAAATCTAAGTTTATAACCCAAGGATCTTGGTTCCTGTCGATATTCGCGCATATTGGACCGTAACTTCCTGAATTATTGCCCCTGATTGTTCGAAAAATCGCGTTTTTAGCTTGTGGACCCTATAGAGGTCATAATTTTTATCCGATTTAAAAAACCGTATTATTATATCACCGGTTCACCCTAAGGACCGCGGAGTTTGTCAGTGAAAACTGACAGACAAAATGGCCGCCCCTCGTTCTGAAATAGCGTAAAAATATGGTATATCAAGGTTGTGGACCCTATAGAGGTCACAATTTTTATCTGATTTTGTTGAAACTCGAAATGTAAGTTTATAACCTAAAGATCTCGATTCCTTTCGATATTTGCGCATATCGAATTGTAATTTCCTGACTTATGGCCTTTGATTGTAGGAAAAATCACTTTTGTTTTAGCTTGTTCTCTATCCATCTCTCGAAAATGTGGGCGTTTCCTGCCTGGCAGCCGCTGGTTTAATTGCGATATGATCGCCATTTTTATTTTACATATTCCAATCAGGCCTATTTAACGTAAAGTTGGACTTTCTATCCCAGAGATGCCAGAAGGAAGTTCATATTAAGCAATAAAACCAAAGCAGTTTATAATTCAGATTTCGTTATATTTCTTACATCTGGTACATAAGAAAGTCATGAACACGATAATTGTCACGGATATATTTCTATCTTGATAAGCTGATGGTATCTGGCGTTATGTTGATGCTTTAATGGAAAATGTCGATGAAGTTGACTATTATAGCCAGGGTTATTTAGATGGTTTGATATTTGGAGGATCTCATCAGGTTTGGAAACGAGGTAAGTTGTCTGTAGGGTATAAAGTAAGTACAGAATAAGCAAATCGAAGAAGTTGAAAACACATAACACTGACATTGCAATAATATCAAATCACGGTGAATGAGTCAAGGAACTGTTCAGTTAGTCTAGCCTTTAAAGGGCCAATCCCGATAATATTTTGGAGAATAAAACTGCTTATTTTTGTGTTAAAATAGCTTAAAATCCTCTACCTTAGGGCCGAGCAACTAACTCAGTATATATGATACGTTTTCAAACAACTTAAACCTGTCAGTCTTCATCTGGAAATGGAGATCTGTGTCTGATAAAACCAGACTATTATTTTTTTTAATTATTGTGCAGGTGACATTTACTTTTCGTTATCAAGTACAGCACGTGGGTCATTCACAGTATAGACCTCTAAAGGAACGGGAATCGAATCTCAGGTCACCCAACGAAACAATTGACCCGAAATCTTAAAAGTTTTACGTGTCCGGATAAGCAGTTTTGACGTTCACGTCCACACGACCTAATATTTTGAGCTGAAATTTAGAGACAAACTAAATACACCACTCCTCTATAGTTTGGTGCTTAAATTTCATACGTACTCGGGTTTGTATTTTTGAGGCTCTGTTCAAATCGGGATATTCCCTTTAATGAAAGATGAAATAAAGAAATATTTTCTCATCATTGTAGTATATTAATGTTAATCGTGATCAGTCAAATAAGAAATTCTTTCGCCACCAAACAGATGACATATATCGTATGCCATGGCAGTGACGGTTTACTCAAAATTCTAGAATAACAAACATGTTACCAGGTGTACCTATGGATAATCGGTTGGCTCGGTCAAGCTATTAATCTAGCCATAGGTGGCTAAAATAAGCAAGGTGCTGGAAAAATGCCTAAATTTGTCTTGAAAGCTCGCCATAACTGAGCAAATTCGTTGAGCAAATCTGAATCTTACCACAAAATACTGAAAAACCAAAACAATGAAAACTTCCACAATTTTTTCATTGGCCACTGCTATGAACCTACGGTAATGGGCGACTTAATTTATCTAAATAAACATTTGAAATCCTTTAGGCCGTTTAGAAAAAATAGTCGTGTCTAAATGACTTTTAAGGTAGGCAACTTCCATCCCTCCCGATCAGATCGGGGAACTTTTTTGAAACATGGGATCCGCGGAGACACTGACTAGCTTACCAGGAGGTATCGTGTTCGCTCCCAGGGTTGACCAAGAAAGTTCATTAGGATTTTCCAGAGTAATTTTCCCCTGGCAGTGTTGCAGGATGGTTGGCCAGTGTACGTAAAATTCAAAATACGAGTAGGCCTAGTACCGATGTCGGGGCATAACACAATGCATGGCATTTCATTTGAAGCGAACTAAACAAGCACCACATTAACATCATGCCAACCCAAATAAAAAAACTTTCTCGAGGTGTTGGCGGTTTAGACCCATGAATAACCCAATGTCCTCATGATAGGCACATGGATGACCCCAATAACACTGTATTCTTTTAGAACTAATGTTTTTCAAGCTCGTTAGATAAAATCATCACGATGCTGATGGTTAAGCCGCTCAATATACATTCCAACAACGATCCAATATTCCCATTATAAGCGTATTATTTGTTCGTGGTGTATTTTAAGTTGACTTCGGCGGACCAGACGAATATGCAAACATCCCGTTAGTTTCAGAATTTATTATGTTTTTTGTTGATGTCATATATATTATTATAGTCTACAAAACAGTTCAGGAGAGCAAGTCGAACATGTGTGGAAATGTCTAAATTTGGCCGTTTAGCTAAAGATATTATTTATGTTGGTTATCAGGGGGAGGGGGGTAGAATTCGATGGAAATAATAGAGATTTAGCGGGAAAAAACATATTTGTTGATTAGGAGTTTGTCGAGAAGATGAATTTTCACTGCAATCACTGGTGATTTGAGCAAGGAAACGTTATTTTAAAATAGGTTAAGCGTTTGCCCAGATGTTTACAATAACAATGGAACCAACCTAGATTTATACTTAATTCGACAAGGCTAGAAATTCCTTATGTAATATATGCCTCTCAATCAACTAAAGTAGTACAAAAAATTTACGCTGAAGTATTCAACCATCGCAGATTGCCAGCTTCAAGAGCTAATCGCCCGAGGATTTTCCTGTCATGATATCCTAATGGTAAATAACCCCCTTGTTTTCTTGGGGATAACCCTTCCACCCATAAGATCTCTTGGTATCAATCCACTCGACGGATTGTGTTTGACGTGATTGGATAATTAATATTATATACAGATCACAATTCTTTGGAATATAAGCAATGACTAAAGAAGCCTAGTCAATACGTCGCTAAGTAATAAGCAATAATTGTATTCCATAGACCTGTATAATCCAGTTCAATTACTTAATTATTTTGGATGAATGTTGTTCTTTGATGCTATGGATTTCTATTTTATACAATGTAAATATTTTAATTGTGTAAAAGAAAATATGTTAATATTTTAATAGTACCTTTGGCTACTCTACCACCGAGAAGAATGCGTGGGGCCGTTTCCTTTAGAGATGATTTTAATGGAAATCACTTGGATACTAATCACTGGACGGTGCAAGTTACAGCAACCGGAGAATACGTAAGATGCTAATCAATTACAAATAAGAGTCTTAAGGCGTTGCTTTTAGTGTACAAAATTACAAAAACTCACACTTATGATGGAGTTAAAAAAATAAATCCTAAATAATGATTCGGATAGTGTCAACATTATTCTGCCTTGCGCGCAGACAAGCCTCATACAAACGATAGTCGCTAATAGTGTAAACCTGTGCCTTCTGAAGTCGGAGTTTCACAAATACAAGATTGTGAATTGGTATATATATTGAACATGATAATATATGCAGTAAAAAAACCCCAACAAAATATTGATTATAAACATTCTGGTTACTCATGTTTTAAAAATAAGTTAAATAATAAGAAATGGGCACAAATGGGTCGCAACGCATAAACTAATGTATACTCTTCAAAAAAAAGTAGGGAATATTGAAATGCAAATACCTATGCAGGTTGTGATATGATAAATAGTCATGGACATTTGACATGCTTTGAGAGTATGATCACAGATGAAGAACTTATCGCCTCAACAGGACCACTGAGCTGCACGTGCGACAGGCAATAGCGGGCTGGTTTATCCTAGCCATGTTTGCTTTTCTATTAGCACTTGTATAAGATTTACTGTTAAGCGTATCTTTGCTTCAATGTGTTACGTTTAATTTGCAATGAGACGTCTTCAACATGAAGAACGTCTACGTGCTATTGGCATGCTTCAAATGGGTTTTACACAGCGAGTAGTAGCCAACATGCTTAATATGTCACAATCTGTGATCAGCAGACTGGAACCGGTACACAAAATGTTGATAATAGACCTCGTTCAGGTCGTCCTAGAGCCCAGGATCGATACATTCGTACACAGGTCCTGCGAAATCCAGGACAAATGGCCAATCAGCTTTCTGTAAACTTCTAACAAGTTACAGGAATTCGAGTTACACCCCAAACGATTATAAATCGGCTACATACAACCCATTTGCATGCGCGACGACCGCGTGTTGTGCCTCCATTAACTCGCCAGCAAATGGCAAACAAGCGTCAATGGTGTAGGCAGCGTAGAATTTGGGGTAATCGTCGATGGGCGCGTGTAATGTTCTCAGATTTACTCTGGATTTCACTGATAGTCGTGATCGCATTTGGAGGCGTGTAAATGAGCGTCATGCTAACGTTAACGTCGGACAGCATGTCCAACCTCGTGGGTTTCCTCCCACTGCTAAAGACCCCTACGGGCAAGCGAATTATTGAAATATAATTTAAAAATATGTTAGTCCCGAAATGACCTAGTTTGTGTCGAGTGGCCGTTAAACCCCATTTCTCTCTGTCAGACAGCATGACACATTCGGGCGTGGGGAGGAATCAACAGACTGGCAGAACGGACTTGCATATTGTTCAAGAAAGGGTCACTGGTGTGTACTACCGTGACCACATCCTGGCACCGATAGTTCTGCCCTTTGCTCAACGTGCAGGTCGACTTTTCATCTTTCAAGATGATAATGTCAGTGCCCACCGCGCTCGTGTCGTGAATGATTACCTCCAGCGGCACCCTAATGTCCATATGCCTTGGTCAGCCATGGGTCCTGACCTTTCCTCTATAGAGCATGTCGGGAGACGTGTTCGTCAACGTCAACCGGCGAAACTGCAAGAATTGGCCATGGAACAGCAAAAGGAGTAGGCCAGATTGCCGCAAATAGTGATTGGACGGTTGATAAGAAGCATTATTAAGACAAAAATCAAGAACGTCCCTTTTCACTTTTGACAGTGTATCTCTTTGCGAGTGAAATAGGGCCAGATAAGCTGCCCATATGAACTGTTTATGTTCATGAGTAGGCAGTTGGCCTGTTGTTAACATACACTAGTTACCTCTAATAAAAAAAGCAGTGCATTTCCGCAGTTTTGTATTGTTTCTGAATATCCCCTACTTTTTTCAAGAGTATATTATGAATGTATTTAAACTGACTTAGATTCAATCTTTTCTGTTTTTACTATAATTTCTAATTAGTTATGTTCGGCGTAATACGCGGGTACAAATTGAATCGCAGTCTTTAGCGTCTGGTTATTGCAGTCTACATCGGTAGTATTCTCCTGTGGGTATGTTTAGCCTCATTCATCCAGTCGATTTATTACAAAAGGCACTCGAAAGCATTCTGGCACGCGCTTTTGCCTTACATATTGGATGCCAGAATTCCATCTTTTCATGATAAGATAACATCAATGTTGATTTAAATTGACCTTAAGTCGTGTTTGCAATGTCGAAGAATGTGGATGACAATGAGTTAAGAGACTTGCTTCCTTTAATTGTTCGTATTTCTCATTTATAGCATAAAGAATTTCAAGTGTATACTAATGATCATAGAAATGTTTATGTTAAAAATGGTAAACTTTATATAAAACCGGTAAGAATACGATTTTCCTAAAATAAAAAGAGCTACATGCCCATACAAGTATAAAGTCAGTATTATTGTATTAAATACCTTGCTTCAAGGTTGTGTAAGAAGACAATACATGTATATACCCTTCTTTCAAGCCATGTTTCGTGTCAACAAGGGTAGCATAACAGTAGCTCGACATATATTTGCTAACTATAACTTGAATTTATAAGGTCGATGCAATATCCACATTATTTGCATGTATGATAAACTATACCTAATTTGGTTAACACCTAGTTCACCTTTTTGTGTTTTCGTTGCAGACATTGGCAGTTGATAGCGGTCATTTTACTGAAAATGATTTATATCATGGTGTATTAGACGTTAAAAGTAAGACACTTTCATCTTTTAATGAGGTTAATATTGTGTTCATAAACAAATCTAGCACGAATTACTATGATCTCATGATTCTCAAATATTGGACAAATAAAACAAACGATGTTTAAAAATTGATGAACTTGGTCGTAAAGAATAAGTAATGCTCACAAATTCCATATCTTAAATGCAATAATCTTAGTTTAGAAGTTAGAACATCAATGCTAACAGAGCATATTTAATTAGAATACCACAGTCTGATTAGCCGATTCTTTGAAAGACGATAACGTTACTTCTAGTGATTAGATTATGATAAAACTTAGAAGATACCTTCTTGACCACTGGCACACAGCTAAGCAGTTGGCCTACTACAATCGGATTGGTCAATAACTTCATTTCTAGTGTATGAAGTTTGGTAAAATGTCCAAATGATTTTGATTTTCTTGGTCACCCCCTTAGTTTTCCAACATCAATGCCATTGATTAGCCCAATGGGTTGATTCTTTAAAACAACAATTTTTTCTTTTGCTTTATGAATTTTGAAATATATATTCATGATCACAGTCATTCACCAAAGTTCGAACATCCATAATCCATGCTTACGTAATTAGCTTACTGAAATTTAATTGGTCAATTCTTAGAATTTACTTCCACTACAAGGATATCAACTAATTCGGATGGATATTTCAAGTAAAAAAAAACTTCTCTGGCAGTAATACCATCTGCGACTATTTTATAAACTTGACATGCAATAACTGTACTAGTAGTTGGCTGAGTGATTTTGATAAAACTTTAAAGAAAGTATACCAATCACCTACATAATTTAATTACAATCTATGCACTTTTTGAGTAACACTCACCTCGTATAATTTAGTTGAGAGCGTTATCGAGTATTTTGACGGTCATTTCCAAACGATTCAAGGTTTTGATTTGCATACATAAGAAACCCTTTCAATATCAGAGAGTAAAAGCAGGAATTTATATTTGAACTATGTGTGGTAATGCGTTTCGTACACTATGCATTGGATATCTTTCATACGGACATAGTTTGCTGTTCTTATAATATATGTATTTTTAATTGAGTGCCTTTTATAATTACAGAAACTTGGGGTACATGTACATTTAGTGGTAATCGAGGATGTTACCGAGAAGCTAAAGATGGTCTCCTACCCCCATTATTATCTGGTAGGATAGACAGTAAACCAACGTTAAAATATGGTCAGGTTGTAGTCAGAGCTCAGATACCGAGAGGAGATTGGATTTGGCCAGGTAAGCTCATCATATGAATTATACACCTACCACTTGTTGAGTGTTGTACTACTGTCTGATCCAACCTTAGCCGGCCTTTTTTTCAAACGGGAAATAAACGTCTACTAAACACAACCTAGGTCAATTCGGGACTAACATGGTTAAATTCTATTTCAATAATTCGTGTCCGCGTAGGAATCCTTAGCAGGGGATTGGACAATCGACCCTACTCCTTGTCGGGTACAGGCACGGAATCGGAACCATATCATGTGCTTAATGACAGACCTTATGATCAAACGTGCACGCGTTAAACCATTTAATGCTCATTTTAATACCTTCCTTTCCCAAGATGATCAGTACGTTTTATGTATGCATCACGTTATTTTACCGACATTTCGCCTAATAGTTTGGATGCAGCTATTGCGCCAGGCAGGGTGAGCTTACTCTTCCGGACACCTGTTACCACTGTTTGTCGTGTATATTGTACACGAGGAGCAGTCCATTTGCTGATTACACTATTTTGCCTATAACGTTTTTTAGGACTTCGAATTCTGTCTTATGGTTTGGATTGTTCGTACTTGGTTTTATTTTATTTATATCAATGACACTACAACGTTTTAGTTAATACATTATATGCAATATTCATATTCATTTATTTAATTCTAACATGTAATAATTCAACATCTAAATTATAACTTGTCATATTTTTTTGCAGCTATATGGATGAGACCAACCAACTCTCCATATGGGGGTTGGCCACAAGATGGTGAAATAGACTTTATGGAAGCCGCTTGTAAGTAGTTTACTTGTATCTTATAATGTCAAGGGAAGTAAAATGGAAGTTGAAAAATTCAACACGTATCGTTCTGGGTGAATAATTAGGTTAAATAAAATAGATTTTAAATACATTGATGTTGGTAAATATGTGTTGACCCAAATGGTAAATGTAAGATAGGTTTTTAAAACATGAATCTCATATGACTTGATCGTGGCAATTCGAAGATAGCTTCAGTTATATATATTTGATATAAAATTATAGTTATCACAAATAAAAGTCATCTACATTTATTTATTTACTATATGTATTTATTTTAGGTAATGAAGTCGCATATTGGGGCAAGAATGACAATCATGGAATCAAAAGAATACACTCAACACTTCACTTTGGTCCAGATTCCGCACATGACCATCATGTTAGTGGCGAAAAGTAAGCAATATTGCGACATTTAATGCAATTTAAGGAAAACCGAATACATAAGTATTCCATTAAATATCATCAATTAGCGATCATCGGGGAAATATAAATAACAAGGGCAGATACTAGAATCATGCATTATCGACTTTCTGGACGTATCCTTTCAACGGCGACACTAAACTGTGTTACTGGCCAAACCCGAACTAGCAATGGCAATCGAAAAGATAAAAACAGCACTAACAGTAATATCGACACAATGAAATTTGTCAGATTTACTGAAAATGTATGGATCTTGTTGATGACGTTATTTAATTTATCTAATAGTGATCTAAATAATTGATCACTATTATTTTTTGTTAAAATATAGAAACAAAACGACCTCTTCTTTAAGATTCGATATACAACCCCCCACCAGTAAAACATCTTTTTCATCAAGTTGTTACCAATTAGGCAAATAGATTAGTTGTGAATATTAAATGCCGATATATATATTTTTTTAGCATACCAAAATACTTACGATCTTTTATTCCACAAAGGTCATCCCAGACGCGCATCTTTGTAATGTGGTTTGAGTTGTTTAAATTCCATTCATTACACACAATAGAATTATATTATTTTAATGAGTCTTGCGTCTTATTCTTTAGAGTAAAAGAACATGGTGATTGGCATGAATTCCATACGTATAAAATGGACTGGTCACCAGACCACATCATGTAAGCTTTTCTTTTATTTTGGTTTGATACATAGTTTTCATTGTCTGTTTACTTTTGCCTAGAACTTCTACATGCAAATGCATCGACATTCATTCTTTGGTAGGGGTTGCTTATAGTCAACGGACTGAAATCGATCGGTAATAAACAACCAGCGGCTGCCAGGCAAGAAACGCCCAATTTTGCAAGATATGGATTTACTCAGCATAGGAATAGAGATACTAGCTCGACGGTGTTCCAGTCGCGCTTTATAGAGCTAAGGTCTAAGTGTGGTGATATTTTGTCGGCTACCGTGGAGCAATCCGAGAGCATATCTGTCCGTCTACCACCTGCTTCTTCCATATTTACAGCTGAGCCCCGGGCAATTCTTAAGGCTTTTGAGTTCATTGAATCATCATCACATTTAAAACGTATAATCGTTTCTGATTCTTTGTCCTCATTACAAGCAATAAAAAACAAACAGCTTGAACACCCCTTAGTCTGCTACTAGCATACGAATTGAGAAGCAAGGACATTATCCTATGCTGGATCCCCCGTCATACTGATATAAAAGGGAATGATAAAGCAGACTCGGCTGCCAAGTCTGCCTTAGATCTTCCCTTTTCCTATTTTTAAACACCATAATATACAGATTTTAAATCCTGCATTAATCATTTCATTTATGACCGCTGGCAACGGTCTTGGGATCTTGCAGACACAAATAAACTTCATCACAATAAGCCTCACTTTGGAGATTGGTCCACTCCTATAAGTTGTTTTGTGTCTTTGTGTCTCCTTGAACAATTCAACAATTAAACACGTTCAAAATTTTAAAATCCCAACCTATCATTCAACCTACATTTCAGCTTTACCAAAACAGTCTAAAATTTTATCCCGTCCGTCCTGAATCGATAACTCTCAAATTGTATGCCCTTTGTTCAACTACTTCAGCATTTCAGTTGATGATGATGTTATCCTTAAAATGACGGTAGCAGATGGAACGACATTGTGGAATCAGTATAAGTTCCAGGGTACTAATCCATGGGCCCATGGTAATAAGATAGCACCTTTTGATCAACAGGTAATCTAGTTAATTCTGATTAGCTGGTATTGTAACATGCGACATAAAGATCAAGTTCAAAATCTTAAAGACTGCAGACGATCATAAGCAGTCTTACAATATATGGGCAAAATTTATGCAAATCGAACATGTTGTATTTTTTACTATTGATTTCGTACCGCTATTTTTGTACGTATGGGGTAATTGTCATTCCATTTTGACTAATTCTTCCATGGACATTAGCCTTTATCTAGGTTTTTGTACCTAATTGCATTATGATGACAGACTTAAGAGTATAATATCACATAAGTTTGACATGTGAGACACGTGTCTTTCGTAGGAGAAACATGAACTTAACAGTGAGCTTATGATGTATGGGTTTTCGAGTGTCTATAAGGTTTTCGGGGAGCCCCTGTGTCTCAGTGAATAATTAGTTGACTTGCTAATCTGGAGGTCCCTTGTTCGATCCGGTGTTGTTTGAGAACGTTTAGTGGGATTGTCTAAATTTCAAAAACTCGAACCTGATCTTAATCGAAACAGAAAGGTGACGCATCAAACTTTAAATTCAAGATATTTTCAAATAAATTATAATGAAAACAAGAGTAAAATAGCAAATCTTTAGGTGCATTTTCTTTTCATCCGAATTAACCATTCCTTGGTGCTCATAATATCTTTTAGTTCCATATGATCCTAAACGTAGCTATTGGGGGAACCTATGGTATGTTTAACGATAAGACACACTACGCCTATCCCAAACCATGGCATAACACCGACAAAGATCCACTGAAGAATTTCTGGGAAGGACGACACAATTGGCTACCGACCTGGCATGGTGATGATGTGGCTATGATAGTTGATTATGTAGAATTTAGACATATGTAAATAAAGCCTATTGTGAAGGGTTTTTTTTAAGACCTATTATGTACTACTTAAAGGGAGACAAGACAATAGCCGTTTCTCATGGCTATAAATGCATATTTAATGGAAAGAATAATAGTTTTCCTTCCTTGTATTTTCATCATTTAGTTTTTACAAAACATCGTTGGACAATTCATCGATGCTATTGATCCCCATTTCCAGTTCCAAATCCTTTAATATCAACGTGAAGCTTCTTGACTTCACATTGTGTTATTTTTTAAAATAAAAACTCTCGGGAAAGTCGTATTTAGGGCGCCCCACGCAGTCAAATTAATATGTATTACTAGGATACCAGGCTTTGTAGACCATCACCACTCCCCAGTCCGAGCTGTCCCTATACACCACATTTCAGCCTCACTATAGCCCGGGCGGAGTAGGACACGTTAACCCCCCGTTTCATTTCTTCTGCGGTTCTATGAGGGGTGGATGGCCGAATGGTTAGCGCGTGCGCGTTGTATTATTAGGTCTGGTATTGAGTAAGATGGCGTGGTTTCGATTCCCCGGCTATACGTGGCAAGCACTAGGGTCGCCTGTCCAACCTCATGGTTTCCTCTCACTGCTAAAGACCCCTACGCGCAAGCGAGTTATTGAAATAGAATTGAACCATATGTTAGTCCCGAAATGACATAGTTTGTGTGGATTGAACGTTAAACTTTTTCTCTCCGCTTCTATAATTCCTCCCGTCTTCATTAGCCTAGTCGAAGCAAAACCGAACAGTAGGACGTTTCATTTCATTACTATGATTCCTGATAAATTCAAGAAAAGTTTGCGAGGAGCATAAAAAAACCTTCGATAAACGGGAGTATAAAGGTTCGGCTTGGGTTGGGCTGCAGTAAAAACTCATCTTTATTTCCTCGAGAATAAATATTCCTACAAAGAACATAGTCGATAATTTATTCTACTGGCGAAAACAATCGAGGGCCAAATTATGAAGAGGCTTCTCCATCTTTAGATACATACCTGGCCTAAGGAGTTGTGCGCCCAACAGCCAAGGTCTGTTTTAGTAAAATGATTTATTAAAAATGGCAAGAAATGAGTACTGTTTAGTTATTAGAAAACTGAGTAACGTACAAATGTGAGTTTCACTTGACAAGACTAGAGTAGATTACTATGGAAGCAACTGGTCGTTTTGGCTTAAAGCCTGACTAAAGTGAAGGAACATTTCTTTAAAGTGGCTGACTACCTTTATTTATCTACTTACCTTACCTTAATGATAATCTAGAACAATTATTTTGATAAATTCCACGTATTTTCTTTTAAATATCGCGATACATTGTAATTTCAATGTAACTACATGTGTATAATTGATCGGAGCCAAGTTAGTAAGACGTTGCCTCGGGATTTTCCGGCGTGGTGCAGGACGGAGGACCTGACAAGGAAAAATATCTAGTCGTTCGGATGAAACGAAAACTAAGGTCCATGTACACAAGAGTGGCATGTAAAAGAACCCTTGCCAGCTGAAATTCGAAATAGAGTAAACCACAGTGAAAAGAAAAAATAGTACATGTCTAGTAGCTGATAAGCAGCGGATTGATGGGGAGTAATGATTTTAAGTTTACTGATGAAATTATGAATGATTATAACTAATCCTTTCAAAGTAAATTTAAAACAAAGTTGTTTATTTCATCATGCCCAAGTGATTTTTTAGGAGTTAAAGAAGGGTATCTTCAACTTACTGGGGAGTTGTCAGTGAAGACATTTCTCTGAAAGAGATCTGAATATAAAATCGCCTGTATTACAAACAAATCATTTAGGACGTTAGCTTTATCACTACAGGTGACAGCTGACAGATCACCATGGTGTTTCAAGATGGTTTCGATGCTGCCATAGCTACCTCGACCATGTGGTGTTAATATATTCGTCCTCGTACTTGTAAAACATAACTCCCATTAAACGAATGCAGGGTACAGAAGTAGAATCCAGGTCTTCGGGTAGATCATTCGTAGCTTCATATCCAGATCGTAAGACTGGCTATGATAAAGTTTTCTGTCACGGTGGGGTTTAAATACCCTTCTCTACGATAACATATTCTTCTCTGTGGCGACTTTCTGTTTTCTAGACAAAAAAGGCTGGATCCACTAATTCAGTTAAACTGGTTACTTAGCTAAACTGTTGGCCCAACTCCAAGAGTAAACTCCAGTGTTTCTTTAGTACTTTGGACAGCAATACTCATGATCGGCACCGGGCAGCTGTGTGTCGTTAGCTCTTCCACGAAGTGTAGTCGAATGCTATTCAAATCGCAGTAAATTAGACTGAAGGACACTTTCGAGTTCATTAGTAATTTTTGTATATCCTCTAATATGTTCAAGCAGCATCCTGGTATTGACCTGTCTTCTCTCGATTTCTCTTTGTAACTGTAACTTCTATCTTAACATTGACGTTATTGTCCCCCGCCATTCAAAGAAAGCAGGGGACTATTAATATGGGTTCGTCCGTATGTCTGTCCGTCACACTTTTTGGGACACAATAACTCTCTTTCTAATTGAGCTACAATGTTCAAACTTGGTGTAGGTGTTTATTAGGTCAATGCCTTGATTGGACATGATAACTTTAGTTCTAATTAAGAGAGTGATGAAACTTGGTGTATAGTTTCATTACACCAATACCTTGACTAAGTTCGACAGTGAGCATTTTCTGCTCAGGGTAAGTAGGGCGATAAGCAATTTGATTGGTCGAGACCTTGGAACACAATAACTCTCCTTCAAATTGAGCTAGAATCTTCAAACTTGGTGTAGGTGTTTATTAGGTCAATGCCTTATAAGCAATTTGATTGGTTGATGCTTTTGAACACGATGACTTTAGTTCTAATTAAGTGAGAGCGATGAAACTTGGTGTATAGTTTCATTACATCAATACCTTGACTAAGTCTCTCTTTCGAGAGCTTAGGTCTAAATATGGTGATTTTGCTCCTATTTATACAGATGACTCGAAAGATGGTGATCGGGTAGCTTCGGCTACTGTGAGGCCATATCTGTGCGTCTTCCACCTGCAGCTTCTATTTTTACAGCTGAGCTTCAGGCTATACTGCAGGCCCTGGAGTTCATTCAATCCTCACCTTTTTTAAAACATATCATCTTTACTGATTCTTTGTCCTCTCCCCAAGCAATAAATAATAAACAACTTGATCACCCATTAGTAGCAGACATTTATCGTCTGCTACTATCTTTCGAGAGTATCAGCAAGGATATTGTCCTTTGCTGGCTCCCCAGTCACATGGATATAAAAGGGAATAATCAAGCAGATTTGGCTGCCAAGTCTGCTTTAGATCTTCCCATATCTCAACTTTTAATACCTTTCAATGATTTTAAATTTTCTATAAATTCTTTTATATATGACCGCTGGCAACGGTCTTGGGATCTTGCAGACACAAATAAACTTCATCACATTAAACCTCTCATAGGAGACTGGCCAAACTCCTATAGAACCAACAGGAGGGATGAAGTTGTTTTGTGTCGCTCTCGTATTGGTCATACTTTTGTAACTCACATTTTCATTTTGAAGCGAGAGCCGCAACCAGAATGTGTTCACTGTCATGTTCCTTTGACAGTTAAGCACATTTTGATTGAGTGCAATCATCTCAAGAATGTAAGATCAAACTATTACCGTTGCCAGTCACTACATCAATTATTTGCTCAACCGGAGCTGTATGGAAAATTGTTAAACTTTTTAAAAGAGACAAACTTTTATTACAAATTTTAATTGTATATATATATCCGTATTTTTGTTTTTAATTATTTATATACATAAAGGACTTATATTTATTTATATTTATTTTTAACAAACTTGTCTGTGATACTTGTTTTTATTTATGTATATAAATATATTTATGTGATATTGATTTAATTTGTCTCGTCAAAGTCACGATGTGTTTGGCACCATATAGCCCGGTTGGAGCTGACGTGCCATTAAATTTCATTTCATTTCATTTCATTTCAAGTTTAATAATGAGCATTTTCTGCTCAGGGTAAGCAGAGCGATAAGCAATTTGATTGGTCGAGACTTTGGAACAGAATAACTCTCACTCTAATTGAGTTAGAATGTTCACACTTGGCATAGGTGTCTATAAGGTGAAGAATGCCTTGATGGATTTTGAAGATGAGAATTTTCGGCTTAGGGTAAGCAGAGATAAGCAATTTGATTGGTTGATATACATGAGACACAATAACTTTAGTTCTAATTAAGTGAGAGTGAGGACACTTGGTGTATAGCTTTATTATATCAATACCTTGACTAACTTCAATTATGAATATTTTCTGCTGAGGGTAAGCAGAGTGATAAGCAATTTTATTGGTCGAGAGTTTGGAACACAATATCTCTCCTTCTAATTGAGGTAGAATGTTTAAACTTGGCGTAGGTGTTTATTAGGTGAATACCTTGATGGAGTTCTATGATGACCATTGTCTGCTTACGGTAAGCAGAAATAAGCAATCTGATTGGTTGATGCTTTGAGGTACGATAACTTTGGTTAAAATTGAGTGAGAGCGATGGAACTCCGAATATAGATTCAGTATATCATTACCTTGACTAATTTCGATGGTGAGAATTTTCTGCTTGGGCTTATGAGCAATAAGCAATTTGATTGGTCAAGACTTTGGAACATAGCAACTCTGCTTTTAATTGAGGTAAAATGTTTAGACTTGATGTAGATGTTCATTAGGTAAATGTCTTGACTGAGTTTAATGATTAACATTACCAGCTGAATATAAACAGATTCTATCTGATAGAGAGTGATGAAACTTAGTGTATTGCTTGATACTTTTGAAAAAAAATAATGTGCGATTAATTAATGTGTGTCATCTATTTATATTTCGGCGGGGGACATCAGCTTTGCTGTTGGCTTGTTAATTATATTTAAAGGACAATATTGGTGTCAGTCATTATCACATGTGATAAACCTGGTTAAACACGTTCCAGATCATTGCGACGATAAATATAATGTGGTAAAATTATATTTGGAACGTGTTTAACCAGTTC